CTCCGCCCCAGCCACGCCCCGATGATGTCACACGACAGTCACAGATCTCATTGGCTGAGCTTGGCTGTGACCACGCCTCCTGGGCGGGGCGAAGGCGGGGCGATGACGTGCGGGAAGCGCGCGCCCGAGGGCCGGGGCCTTAAAGTGGCGACGGCGCCGGGGAGAGGTGGGGCCCACCGGGCTGGGAGAGCTCCGGGAGCTCCCCGGGAGCGGGGCTGGAATTCTCCGGGCGCTCATCCGGGATCAGGCCGAGACTGCGGCCAGGATCAGCCTGGGAGCGGGGCTGGCGACCCCGCGAAATGAGGGCAAGGGTTCCCCTGACAGCAGGACCGAGATTCCTCAAGTAGCGGGGCTGGGATGGTGCTCTGGGATTCCCAGGAATTGCGGCCATGATCAGGCTCAGCCCAAGAGACTGAGTTGGGGTCAGCCTGACAGTAGGGCGAGAATCCCAAGCTAAGAACTGGGATGTCCACGGGAATCAGTTTGGGATTCCTCCAGAGGCAGGACTGGGATCCCACCAGATCACAGATCTCCGGTGTGGATGTGCTGGGATGATTCTCCACCAAAAAGGGGCTGGGATATCCCAAGATCACGGCTGGGATTGCCCCTGAGACAGGGCCAGGATCACCTGGGATCAGGACTGGGATTCCCCCATCAGTCCCAGGATCACAGCGAGCTCAGGGTCACCGTGTCGCCAGCCGGAGCGGCCTCAGAAGTGACCCGAGCAGCATCCCTCGGTGGCAGGGTTGGAGACAGGGATGGGGAGGAGGCGCAGACCGGGCTGTGTCCAGTCACGGAGCCGGGAGGCGCGGGGACACCAGCACTGGTGTATTTCTGGGGCAGGATCCACCCGCCCCTGCGATTGCCACGGAGCTGTACAACCCCCGAGCCCCCCGCCGGGCACGGCCCCGGCACAGCAGGGAAACGATATTAACAACATTAACAGCAAATTCGGGGGGCGCGGGACCCCTCAGCCGAAGGGACCCTTGACGTTCTTGGGCTGGAAGAGCGGCTGCTCCATGGGCACGGCCCCCAGGCACTCGGCCGGGCTGCAGTGCCCCGTCTTGCCCGGCTGCCCCGTGGCACCGGGAGGGCCGGGGATGCCGGGGATGCCCTGCTGCCCCACGGGGCCCGGGGGACCCATCTTCCCATAGCCTGGTGGCCCTTGGGGACCTGCAAGAGATGGAGAGAAGGAGGGGTGAAGGAGGGGTGAGGGGGTGGCAGCAAAGCCCAGCCTCGGGCTGGGGGCCAGGCGAGGGGAGGGGGCTCACCTGGGGGTCCCGGGGGGCCGCTGTCCCCCATCAGTCCCACGCCTTTCTCGCCTTTCTCTCCTTTGGCGCCCGGCTCACCTGGGAAGGATGGAGAGGGGTGAGATCCCGGCACAATCACAGCATCCCAGCGTCCAGGGACACTGGGAATGTCCTGGGGACACCGGGAACATCCCAGGGACACTGGGAATGTCCTGGGGACACCGGGAACATCCCAGGGACACTGGGAATGTCCTGGGGACACCGGGAACATCCCAGGGACACTGGGAATGTCCTGGGGACACCAGGAACACCCCAGGGACACTGGGAATACCCCAGGGACACTGAGAACGTTCTGGGAACACCCCTAGGACACTGGGATCGCCTCCAGGACACTTGGAACATCCCAGGGACACTGAGAACGACCCGAGGAAACCTGGAACACCTCAGGGACACCAGGAATGCCCCAGGGACAGTGAAAACACTCCGGGGACATGATGGTGGCACTAGGAACACCACAGCAACACTGGGAATGCCCCAGGGACACCGGGGAGGTCTTGGGGACACCGGGAACACCCCAGAGACATCGAGAACACGATGGGCAGCTAGGAGCTAAGAACTAGGAATACCCCAAGGACACCGAGAACATTCTGGGAATACCCCCCAGGATAGCGGGAATGTCCCCGGGACACCGGGAACACCGCAGGGACACCGCAGGGACACCGGGAACACCGCAGGGACACCGGGAACACCGGGAACACCGCAGGGACACGGGGACACCGCAGGGACACCGGGAACACCGCAGGGACACCGGGGACACCGCAGGGACACCGGGAACACCGCAGGGACACCGCAGGGACACCGCAGGGACACGGGGACACCGCAGGGACACCGGGAACACCGCAGAGACACCGGGGACACCGCAGGGACACCGGGAACACC